GCACATACGCTCACACATGATAAGCTCACCATTATCCTTCTTGCTCGACTTGAACAGATCTGATCCTTTGTTGAGCAGCTTTAGTGGAAACCCAAAGCTCTGCTGCCTCCGTTGCATCGTTGCGCCACCTAGTGGGAGGCTGTTGTGCGGGCGGGACGTCGGCTGTGCCACAGACAGATGCCGCCATCAACGCCCGTCACCCGCCTGCCTCTCATAACCACAGACGATTGCTGAAACGATAGACGAACAAGACGCGTTGTAGAATAATCAATCAGCCAAGATGACCGATGATTTTTTTGTAATAGTTTAAGTTATTGCTCGTTGGTTGTTGTCACGCCCGTCACCCGCCTGTCTCTCATAACCATAGCAAATCATAGCGCAACAAGACACGTCGTAGAATGTCCGATCAGCCAACATGACCGATAATTTGTCAATAGTTATTGCTCATTGACTGTAGAAACATTGAAAGGCTTTGAAGGGCGGAAAGGGGCTCAAACCAGCATCCTAGCACACATTTTTTACACTCCCTGCTGTAATCGGCTCTAATACTAGGTTTATATACTGGGTTTAAATTAGCTCCAATCTTTCACTAAACCACTTTTTGTCGTTTGCCTGCTTTTTTAGTCAGCCATGATGGGTATAAAAATATAACACACCTATTTTTATAACCTGCTTTAGGCACCGCGTGCATTAGTGCAGGCCGGGAACAGCTCGTTTATACTACGGAGAAACTATACTCACCGTTGTAAATATATATATATAATATATATCAGGGGTCGAAATAAGCGATAGTCCGATGGTCCGTGGCCATCAAATAATCAGGAGGACCATCAGATTTTCAAAGTCAATGGGCCGACGGACCATTGAATATTTAGGTCCCACTTTACGGTAATTTTCTTTAAAGTTTCCACGTTCCAATATACTATTAAAGTGAATAAACAATTACTGTATCGTTTGATACATTCATTGTAGGTGAATAATTAAACCATTTTATCACCATGTAAAATCTCTTTCTTACGCTTGCATGCCGCATTACTTTTAGAGAACAATATTAAATTTAGGACAACCATCTAAAATTTAGGAGGACCATCTAAATTTCAAACTAGATGACCATCTCATTTTTTCTCCTTGTCTCTACCCCTGTATATTATATATATATATATATATATGTGTGTTTATTCTCCATTATATTTGTATATATAAACAATACAAACAAAGGCCTTAAAAACAAGCTCATCTGTCTAGTACCCTCACCCTACCCACCACCAACCCCAAGCAAGACAGATTAGTTGATCGGCTTACTACTCACGTAGACAAACCATAAACAAATATATGTACATGCCCCGTACAGTCTATCCCTGTCGGATAATAATAGCCTGGCCCTATATAGTCTGTCTATTACGGTCCAGACACTGCAAACACCTACCACTGGTATTTTACATACAGCAAGCACACACCGAAACTGCTACACGTTCACCAACCCTGCTAGCACTTACCCTGCGAAGACGCTCATGCGCGGGTGCGGGTGTGCGTCCGCGGGCGTGCGTGCGGACGTGCGTACGTGCGTTCGCGTGCGGCGTGCGTGCGCGTGTGTGTGCGTGCGTGCGTATGTGTGTGCGTCCGCGGGCGTGTGTGCGTGCGTGTGTGCGTGCGTACGTGTGTTCGAGTGCGGCGTGTGTGCGTGCGTATGTGTGTGCGTCCGCGGGCGTGTGTGCGTGCGTGTGTGCGTGCGTACGTGTGTTCGAGTGCGGCGTGTGTGCGTGCGTATGTGTGTGCGTCCGCGGGCGTGTGTGCGTGCGTGTGTGCGTGCGTACGTGTGTTCGAGTGCGGCGTGTGTGCGTGCGTATGTGTGTGCGTCCGCGGGCGTGTGTGCGTGCGTGTGTGCGTGCGTACGTGTGTTCGAGTGCGGCGTGTGTGCGTGCGTGTGTGTGTGCGTCCGCGGGCG